GAAGCTTGGGTTAGATGCTGGGGGCAACCCAATGGTAAAATATCTGTAAATTCCCTACAGAGACTTGCTCTTTTTGGCTGGAGGTATATTGGCTTTAAAAGACTTTCTTGGACAAGAAGGCTCTTGGAACATGCCGAGGACAAAATATTCTTTGTTTTAGGACAGATGAGTTCTGTTCTTGCATGTTCATGTAAATTTGATTAGCACTCATTTCTTATGTGCAAGTTGAGAACAATGGCAAGCATTTTTTTTCCCATTTATATATATATATATATATATATATATTGTATCAACTTAAAATGACATTTACATCTGCAGAAAGCTGGATTCATGTCCATGCATTTGTTCTTTTAATAGGCATGGATGGTTCACGCTTGTAGTTATAGAAAGAGCTAGTCTTAAAGAGTCTAAATCTTTTATGTGGTTTATTTTCTAGCATTCAACTTGCTATTTAAACCTATTTTTAGATGTCCTAAATATGAGAACAAATCTGCCATTGGAAGAAGTGACAATGAGCAGTTTTCTCGGTGTTTTTAAACGGGGCCACTCCTCAGACGCCTACCAAGGAGTACCCCTTTCACCAGGCAGCAGAGAAAATTATCCCTAACGAAAGCAGCATGACACTCACGTCTCCCGGTGCCAATAGACTGCACAAATAGGAGGCAGGGCCAGTAACATGTGGGACCGGATGGTCCCTTAATCTTGCAGCTGTTACTATTGATCTCTGCTCTGACTCTTCACTGAATTCCATTATGGATGGCAGAGCAAAGTCTCCGCTGGCAGCTAGAGAGCCAGTGGCTCAGGGCAAGAAATTCTCTACATGACTCGGATAGGTTCCTGGTTCAGGAAGCTAGAACTCAACTTTCCTTATAAGATTCTATCACTTCTGTTCTGCCAGGGACAAAAGACTGACCAAGGAATCTAGATCATGCATCTAGGGCGATTTGGATGTGTCTAGGATGAACCGAATGCCCACGCTAATAATACATGTCTTTTTAAAATCTTTCTAAATGTAATGATGCCAAGATTCAGATAAGGCTCCAAAGCCAAGAATTCCCATATGAAAAGGTAACCAGGAAACCTCTTGTTCAGAGCTCTCCACGTTGCCCCTGGAAACCATGTCTGTTGCATTCCATTTGAGTAGAATATGACCCAGGGTTTCTAGAAAATGTATCTTATGCCTTAACGTTGCCAAATGGCTCGTAAGGGATCCAAGTCATTTCCAATTCCTAGACTTTCTAATAGCATAGCAGTGCTGGCTACCCGCTCAGGGCAGGAAGAGTCTTAAAAAGGATGTTTTGAAAAAGGACAAGAAGGTAAAAACTTTTTTGGGCACTCCGATTGATTAAAGCTCAGCAAGCGAGTCTGGGTACTCAGAGCTTCTCTAAACATGCCACAGGTGGCCGGGGTCAAAGGGAGCCTAAGGGCCAACATTTTTCTGGGACAGACATGCCTGAGTCCGTTTTAGGCATGGAACACACTGAATTCTTAGGAAACACTGCTTTCTACTCCACTAAAGGAGATGGTTCAGTGGTTTGCAGTTTTCCCTTTGCCTCTGAACAAAGCCTCTTCACAGTGCCAGCCCATTAGTCTAATGTAGTGCTCCACAGACTTCAGTGTGCTTACCTGGAAATCTTGTTAGAAAGCAATTCTGATCCAGTCAGTGTGGGGTAGGGTCTGCAATCCTAACTAGTGCCGAGGTGATGCTGAAGTTGCATCGCAGGCCACACTAGGACTAGAAATGGTCTAGATGAAGAACAGCAGCATTTCAAGCCTGGATTGATTGATTACCTCTTTGATATTGTGTCTGAGCCCCTGCCTCTAATCTATCAACCTTCCTTCTCTCCCCCTCCTCCCCATGTCATTTGTGACACTATTTTCAGGCAAATATCCCTCAAGGGACACTTTCCTTCAGCTGCACCAGGGAGAGATCACCCAACTTCCCCAATTCCAAACTAATGACAGCTGGAAGGGGTCTTAGGGATAACTCATCTACCCTTCCATTCTGCAAATTCATTCATTCATTCATTCATTCATTTATTCTTCACTGGATTTTTACTCTGGATGATGTCTTCCTGGTGCAGCTGAAGGAGTGTCCTCCTGAACACTCAAAGCTGAGAAGCACTTGGCATAGGCTACTTTGTGGTCCCAGAGACTGGATAAGAGCAGTTTCTGTGTGAATATGAAGCCATAGGACTTGTTCATGTTAGATTTGAGCATTCTTCAGGGGTGGGAGCCCTTACCTTTTTTCACAAATCTTCAGCATCATTGATCTCATTGGGCCATCAGCCTCTTTTTGCCCTGGGATGAAGGACCTCAAAACAAGGGGGAGAGTTTGGCCAGTTCTGTTGAATGGCTGGGGCATGGTCCATGAAAGTGGACACTCTCCACACCTTGAGCAGGGTCTATGGGAGCCTCCTGGGCCTGGGAACTTCATCTCCTTCTTAGAGGCTTAGACAGTGACCTCAGTGATCTGTAGGGGGCCTTGGGAGAGCATGGTTTTAGAATATGGCTCTACACAGTGCTACCAATGGGAATTCAGACTTAAAGTGAGGAACTATTGGAGGACTTAACTGATGTTTCTGAGAGATCCTGAATCGCACAGGTGAGAGTATGACTTCTTGGGGACTCTGAAGGTGAAGATCTGGACCAGGACCAGCTTTTCACCTTTGAGGGTGGTGGGCATACCCTTGAGGTGGGGGTAGGGTGGGAGGAAACTAGTCATCTTTATTGAGGAATTGACAAGAAGGATTATGCTTTATCTGTGAGCTGTGCTGAGTAATAAAAGCAAGGGTAGACTCAAGGACTTGGAGCATGGGAAGTGGTTGGTGTAAGCTTTTAGTATTCCTCTGCTTGGGAGTGGGGTGGGTGCTGGGACACAGACATAGGACACCACAGAGCAGTTCACACTCTCCTCACCCAAGGTCCTCAGAAGGGCATTCATGTCATGAGACTGTTCCAGAACCTAGGTCCCATCAGGGGAATGCAGAGGCTCAGGTCTGAGACTTGTTTAGTCTTTAAGAGACTTCTAGAACATGTGCCCTGCCCTAATAAAGTAAATACTTCTGTTCATCCCAGGGATCTGACATTCCAGTATGTGGTACTTAGGGCTCTTGTAGATGTTGGAATTCATAAGAGTCCCTCTGTAGTATATATGTAAGATGCTGATGGGAAAACACCCGCCCCCCCACATTACATCACACAGACACGTACACATACACACACAAACAATACAGGGGTGCAGGGCTACCTCTTGATGATGTCTTCCTCACCTCCTGAGACAGGGTGTCTAAGCCATTGACACAAAGTTGACAAGTATTGAGACCAGGAGTTATCAAGCCTTCAAGTCTTAGTTCCAAAAGCAAAGAAGCACTATTAAATTTTGAGCAGGTTATAAGAACTCATTTCTATAACTAAATTCAGCATGTAGCGTAGGCCTAGAATAGAGAGTCTGTTGGATCAATTTGAAACCATGAAAATCATTTTAACCATTGACTTATATACAGGGACTTGGCAAGTGGCTTTAAAATCAAAACTAAAAATAGCATGTAAAATACCAGATGGAGAATATGAGTTTATGCTTTGCCCATTAGACTGAGAAGTCCCCCTACCCTTTCCAAACAACTGGTAAATGAATTATTGCATGAACCGGCGACACCTGCCAATGTACCTACTCATGTCAAAGTCATATGTCATACAAAGTGTAAATATGGCAGCCCATCTAGATTTCCCTCTTGAATGCTAAGAGTAGTCTATAAAACCAAGGGTTTAGCATGGAGCTGGATTTATAAAAACCAAATTCAAAATCATGGAATTTAAAAATGAGCCCCCCGTAGATAAACATTGAAGGCATAAAAAATTGGCAAATACCTAGAATCCTATTTTATGGGCATGAAAGGATTCTATGTGTGTTTACACTTACACTGTGGAACTCATGCCGTTTCATTACATCACTCAGGCCAAAAAGATAACCAAAAGGAGATTCCAAAGAAACCAGGTGTTGGTTTCTTTACAGGATTAGAGATTTTCAGATTTTTAAAAATTCTTTAAAGTAGTGACTAATGTTAGATTAGGTAAAGAATTATAATAAAGAACACACCCCCAAAAAAGTGAAGCTTTCAATGAGACCTCTCTACCAGAAGAACATTGAGCAGTTGTTGAGGCCTAAGGTAAACTCTGGTCAGATGAATTTGAGTCCAAGTTAACTTGTGTGCCCATCCAAGGTTGAACTTTCAGGAAGGCCACGCTAGTGGGAGTTACAGTGGCAGCCAGGTAAAACATCTGCATTTCCATGTGAACATGCGGTACCGTGCCAGGAACAGGGAGGATGCTAGCATGAAAAACAGACAGAAAAACTTACAGAGGGAGTTCCCATGTGGCCATCCTGTTTAGCCACTGAGACTTAACTCAGAAGAGAAGGGAAGAGCTGTGGGGAAATGCAGTTCTGTTTAAAGTTGGAGTAGATTCCATTGGAGTGGAGTGTTGCTTGCATGGTAAGGTTTAGCTCCGTGCACACCAGAAGCTAACTGTGCCCAGGGTCCCTTGAGTATAAGTGCTGCTGATGGGCAGTCGAGACGAGGGTGACAAGGATGAGTAGCCAGACAGATTCTCCTGTGAACAGCCGCACTAACTCACCTGCCTGGGTGGGGAAATTTATTGACCATGGAATGGAAAACACAAAGAGTGACCCTAATGTAAACTGTGACTTTGGATGATAATGACATGCTATTGTAGGTTCATAGATTTTAACAAATCTCTCTACTCTGGTAGGGGAATGTTGGTAAGGGGGAAAACTGTGCGTGGGGGGTAGTGGTTGTATGGGAAATCTCGATACCTTTTCCTATGGACCTAAAACTGCTCTAAAAATTAAAATCTATTTGTTTTGAATGAATAGGTAGTTGTTAGAGTTGGAAGCACTCTCAACAGATAGTAATTATGATACGTGTTGTAGTTGAGTATTTTACGTAACTTTCTCTTTGCTTTGTGCTTTGTTTTTGCAGGGTGTGAAGAAGTATGATGTGCCCTGTGGAGGGAGAGACTGCAGCGGGGGCTGCCAGTGCTACCCTGAGAAAGGAGGGCGGGTAAGTCATTGCCTTGCAATGTTACCTTCCATATACTCCCATTGTAAGTGAAAGTGCCTTCAATTGCCTGATTAAGTCAGTTGCATACTTTCCTAAGAAACATAAGGTAAACATGTTCTCCACTGGAACAAACAATAATATAATGCAAAATTGGATCAATTTATGCTACTTTCTTAATAAATTGAGAATAATGCTAACTTTCTTAAGCATCTTTTCTCTTGTTCATTATTACAAATACGTATGTCTATATATGTATATATAATACAACTATGTTTTATACTTATTTTCTTATACATAAATATATGTTTTATAAAAATATTACATGGAGAAAACATAGTTGCATTCATACTGCAGTATAGATATTCAAACTAGAGGGCATCAGCCTCATACCACTGAGAATCATTCTAACTTTTTAAATTATTCTACTCATTTTCTGAATGTCCGTTATGTAGCCCATTTCATAGATAAGTAAGAGAAAAAGATCACCCCAAATTATTATCATAACACCTGGTAGAATTTGAACTGATACTGGGTTTAATATGTTCAAACAAAGTGATTGGCCTCTCGTTCTGCTTCCATTGAAGCTGATGTTCAAGTCTTGGCGTTACTGATTTTCAAAAGATTCTGTTTATATTTATATGTTTAAGCCCATGCTGGTGTGTGTGGTGTGGGCAGCAATATTTCGTTTTAGGACACAGAGGCTTTTAAGTCTTTATGCCTTGGAATCATGCATTTTCCTCTAGGACCCATGCTTATCTGATGCCAGGTTGTGAGAGATAATTGGGAATTCTTGCCGGCATTGCCCTGTCGTTGGAGACAGAAATAATTGCAGTCCTTAGGTGTTCCCAGTGAGTTTCACCAACAGGAGCCCTGAAGTCAGTTTCTAACGTAGCCATTCCCCATTCCCACTCCCACCCCCAGGTGGAAGGACCATCTTGTTGGAGCTTGGGCTTTGTGGCCCGGTGTTCTCATACATCCTCTCCTACCTGAGTCCCCTCCAAAAACCAAAAACTAAACACTAAAACTTGTAATAGGAAACCCCTTTGTAAATGTGGCGGTTGTATTGAATAATATGTGACTAATCATTTTTGAGTGGCAGAGGTCACAGTTGAGGAGCTTCTTGCCACTAGATCAAAGCTTCCATCTCCACACACTGTGTTCCTCATGAGTTGCAACCCTCAAAACTGCTTTTTGTTATTGTTGTTTCACTAATGGGTACCTCTGTTTGGAATGGGGACTTTACACTGTAGGAATTTCTAGTCGAAGATCCTTTATCAACATTTCAGAAGGAGAAGTATTTTTTAAATACATGAAAGCCATTTGATGAGATTTAAAATGCCCCTGGGGTCCCTTGCTATAGATTTTCCCAGCAGTGCTCTGACTGCAGAACTCTTCTCTCCCCAAACTCTTGCTGGCTCAGCCTTATATGGGCACAGGGAAGATAAATGAATGGTATACAAATATCTGAGACTCGCCTGTGTGGGAGTTTGTTCAACTCTAGAGGGATTCTACAATCTTCTCTATGTGATCAGCCAAACAGAACCCAAACAAACTGAGGAAAAGGTTACTGGGTCTACTCTTTTCACTTTGTACAATTATTTATTTAATGCAGAACCAGTATGTTAACATTTCCCAGGATGCTTTCGCAAGAATTTTGCTCTTCAGTAAAGCTAGCTTATTCCTATTCTTTCAATAGATGATGCCATCTGCACAGCAGTATACTCATAAAATGCCAGAGGTCTTTTCAAAGAGGTTATTAAAAGGAAGATTTCTAAGGGTCCCTAGGTCTTTCTAATGTAGTAAGTGTTCAGTACAGGCATTGAAACCTTCTTATTTCCCATCTTCCCTGAGAAAATAGCTTGAGTCTGTTTCTATGCATTGTTGCCAAGTAAAGTAGAAACATGACACCTTCTGGTTAACTTGATTAACATGAGTGATCCAGAACCCAGTGTGGGCTTACCTTGCATATATTTAGACAGGTTATTAATACTGATCGAATTCAATTGAGATCTCACAGTTATCTGAGTAGTTTGTTCAAGAGACAAAGCCAAGCCCAGCTGGGGGTGGCTCAGCAGTTGAGCATTGACCTAGGGTCCAGGAGATCAGGGTTCAATTCCCGGTCAGGGCACATGCCCGGGTTGCGGGCTCGATCACTGGTCAGGGGTGTGCGGGAGGCAGCCGATCGATGACGACTCTCACCATTGATGTTTCTGTCTCACCCTTTCCCTTCCTCTCTCTGAAATCAATAAAGATTTTTTTTTTTAAAAAAAAAGAAAAAAAAGACAGAGCCAAATGATACCCCACTTTGGGGCCTGCCTGCAGTCTGCAGGACCCACTGCCTGTAGTGTTCAGAAGGCTCTTCTCTTCACGCTGCTTAATGGTTTACACTTATCATTGGTGCTGGACCTAGGCTCACACTGTGATTGGACCATACAGATCCAAATTGGGTTGTTTTAGCAGCCAGTACCCAAGGCTGCCCAGTTGATTCATGTGTGCCATTGAATATTAATCAATAAGATGGTAAAAGGTAAGAAAAAAACCTACTGAGGAGAGATAAATAATGCCATTTATCATTTTCTATGGGGTAAGCCTAGCGTATTACTGAAGATATTTGTTGTTGGACAGTTGCATACACTTCATTAAATCATTTATTAAGATGTAGAGTCTATTGCAGTTCTTAAAACTTGGCACATGTGTATTAAGTATTTGTTGATTAACAAATTTACCTAAATGTGTTCCTATAGAAAGCAGCGCTATTTCTGCCCTACTTGTGGCTTGATAGTATTTTTTTGTAAGTAATATAATACATAAAAATAGCAGTTGGATGGATTTTGCTGTTCAGGGAGCTGTGTGCAGAGTTTGTTCTTTCCCACAGCTTCCCCTGGGGTCCCTTGCTATATATTTTCCCCACGGTGCTACTGTAGCAGCGATGACAATGCCTGACTACAGAGCTCTCCACTCCCCAAGCACTTGGCTAGCTCAGCCTTATATGGGCATGGGATAGAGTTAATGTGTTCCTTGCCAGAGTGACAGCCAACATCAGAAATTGTGTTACTGGATAACTTTTGGACTCTAAGCAAAAATCACAAATGTACTATGGATTCCGATTCCAAATGAATTCTCATGTTACTGAATGAATAAGCTCTGTGTAAAATGTGCCGAGCCCGATTCTCCACCCCTGAGTAAGTTTGTGGCGTATTGTCCCAGAGAGAGAATTATTTCTCACAGGCAGAGCTGCACACAGTCCATTCCAGTAAGCCAGTAGCTGGAGCATGAAGAGGCGGGAACTGTGGCCCAGCTGTCTATGCTCTCCTCACTCTCTGCTCAGCGCTGGATGATCTAGCCTGAGTCCTCTAGTTCACACAGGAGGGTAGGAGGGTATAGACATCGAGGGTCAATGACTTGTTCCAATCTGGGTCCAGAACAAAACTCAAGTTTTTAGACTTTTTGATGAGTTCTTCTCCCAATACAGTGATCTTTTATGTCTATACTCCTCTTACCAGATGTTAACTTAAATGAAGGGGATTCTCCAGGGTGGAGGAAGGGACACAGGCGGAAATGAAAAGAGAGTTGTCTTCCTGTTCTCAAGAGTTATGAATCCCTAGCCAGTTCTCTCACCACCTCTTCCATTGTTTAGTGAATTAAAAAAATAACTTTAGAAAATGATTTCAGACTTTATTGTTGTAGGAGGGTCTCTGTTTCAAATAATCTCTATGAAGTGTATTGGAGTATTTAAAAATTGTAAGACCTATTTCACCAATACTGCACAAGGTGATACGCACAAAGCCAGTCAACAAACTAACTTCTCAGACTTTCTCCACCAGTAAATGTCCTATAGTCGTCAATACCAGAGAAACTGCCCTGCCCTCTTACCTTTTGCTATTCTTTTTCTTCTTTCTTTCTTTGTACACTATGAAGATGGAAGGTGGTTGAATGAAATGCATTGGATTGAATTTCTGTTATAGAATTTCTATTGAAGCAGAGTGACTGCCACTGTATTATATAAAGATTAATAGTACGGAAAACAGAGAGCAGGTGAGGCTTGATTAGACAAATAAAATCTTTGCCTTTGCACATTAATACATGTAAAAGGTTGTGAAATTCTCAGATTTTTCCAACTGAGGTCAATTTTAATTTATTATTTCAATTACTTACACAGGTTCCCATTCCCCCAACCCTTTGGTTTTTTTACCCTAAACTCAGATCAGATAGGTAATTTCAACTTTTTAATGACAACCTTTTCAGGGCACCTGTTTTTCTAAGCAATCATATTTCAAAAATGGGGAAAGACATGCCCCGACCATGTAGCTCAGTTGGCTGCAGCATTGTCCCGTACAGCAAAAAGGTTGTGGTTTCATTTTCAGTCAGGACACATACCTAGGTTTCAGGTTTCGATCCCCAATTGGGGCACGTACAGGAAGCAACTGATTGATGTTTCTCTCTCACATTGATGTTTCTCTCTCTCTCTTTCTGTCTCTCTTCCTCTCTCTCTAAAAATCAATAAACATATCCTTGGGCAAGGATTTTTAAAAAGGGGTAAGTACCAAGACAGATTGTTTAAGTCCAAAATGTTGGGAATTATTGAGATGGTTCAATGGCCGTGTCAGTTACAGTGGGAAAAAGAGAAACCACAACTTTGACTCCCAGAGCTCTGCCATTAGCCTTTGAGTGAGTTTATTGGCATCTTCCCCATCCCTCAACAATCATCCAACCCACATTCACCCTCTGTGGGCTTGACAACAAGAGCCACAAAACTGGAGGTTGCAAATCCCAGAAGGTTGCAGTTGATAAACTCACTCACTTAGGCAATGGCTGAATGCTTGAAACAAGTTTTCTTTAGCTGTTGCATGAGTTTCCCACAGTCTGTGGGTCCCTGGACTCTGTACAAAGTGTGAGTGAATAATTCTTAACCTCACAAGATTTCTTAAATGCAACAATATAAAGTGAAAGAAACCAGAGAGAAACCGAGTGAAAGGGGAAGAAAGGGAAGAGTGAGCAGA